TGAGTAATTGTGTTTCCCTGGGTAGGCTGGCTTATTTACTCTGTCTTTTTATTGCATCTTTACATGATGTATTGATGACCTTATATTTATATCTTTATCCAATATCCTTGGTCTGCCGCCTGCCGGCCTGCTGCCTCCCTCCTTCCCTCCCCCTCCCTCCCCCCTCCCTCCCCTTCACATGCTCCTCTTCACATGCATTTCGGGAGAGGCGCCTGCGAGCGCAGCCTGAGCAGGAGCAGCCCTGGGCAGCCTCCGACAGCGGAGGCCACTGAGCCGGCGGGACGTGCCGGGCGGGACGTTCCGGCTCACACTGTACGTTCTTGGCTAATCAGAATGCCTTCTGGCATCACACGCGGCTGTCAACAGTCCAGTGGGGGGGTCTGGTATTTTTCCTTCTAAGTGACATGGTCTTTTCTTAAACCAGGGTGTCCAAAGGGTAGTCTTGTCTTCTTTTACAGTTCAGTACTTTCAGTCGACGCTATCTCAGCATTTTTCTTTCCAGGTCCAGTTTCCTCCTCCAGGGCCTGCTCTTCCGATACGGGATTTCAAGGGTGTGTGTTTGTTTTAAAATTCAGGGCCGCTCTCCCGAGGTACAGGTCCGACACTTGTTCCCATGAGGAGTCGCCTGTTTGAGCTTTCCCGCTGGCCTCGCACACCTCCCGTCCCCTCTCAGTCTTTTCTATCGTACGTTTCTTTTTGATAAAAAAAAAAAAACAACAAACCTTCCCGCTTTCTGTCTTGCATTTATCTCAAGGTCTTTTCTGTTGTGTCTCTTCCTTCTTCAGATCTATCTTCATGTCCGGCTAATTTCTGCTTTCATCTATGGTTATTCCCTGGTTTCTTCAACTCTAAATTTCCTTTCCTCTGGTCTTTGATTTTCTGGGTTTTTCTAATTCTGAATTATGTTCTTCCTTCACAGTTCCTATCCTTTTCGTAACATTTTGGCCTCTGGCGGTCACGTGTTTGGGGGGCGAGTCTGTCTGACACACCCTCAGAGCCCACGGCAGACGCTGTCCACGTGGTAGGACCACCAGCCCCATGAGGCTGTCTGCAGTTGAGTCAAAACGAAATACGCTAGCTCCGCTTCTCAGTCGCACTAACCACATCTGAAGCGCTCGATAAGGCTACCTGCTGCGTTAGGCTGGGCAGATGTAGGGTATTTCCATCATTCTGGAAAGTTCTGTGGGACCGTGCTGGTCCATAGGATCACATTTCTCTGTCTTACTCCATTTTTCTTATCCTAACTTTGCCGGTCGTGCCCTCCAGCCTGCTCTGTTACAATCCCCCTGGGCTTCCCCCTCCCGGGCCACTCTGCTCACAGAGGCCCCTCCCAAGGCTCACTCAGCCCCTCCCGGGCCCCGGAACGCAGAGGGCTGTCTCCCCCACGGCGTTCTCGCTCTGGCCCCTGCCAGGCGCACGCTCCTCCAGCAGCCGCCGGCCCCAGTCCCGGGCACCCTTGGGCTCTCCCAGCCCTACCGACCACATGGGCAGGTGGGCTGCACCGACCTTCTGCCCCACAATAAAGTCAGAGACGGCGAGGTCTGACCGCTGGCTGCCTCTGCACGATTGTGGAGCGAGTGAGGGGCGAGAAGGACGGAGGTCCCCGACCACCACCCTGCAAAGTAGGGAAACTGAGGCTCAGAGAGGTGGAGGAACTCGCCAGGGTTACACAGCAGCTAAGATGCAGGGCCTAGATCCAGGCCACCAGCGGCCCGGCCCGTGCGCAGCCCCCACCCCCACCCCAGGGGAGCAGAGGCGGGACTACTAAGGCGAGGAGACTCAGACACGTGGCCCTAAGTGGTGTCCGCGACTGGCGGTGCCCGGCACCAGGATTGGGTAGGGGGCGGGGCCTCGGCAGCTCCACCCAAAGGGCTGACCCAGGGGGCGTGGCGCCGGCCCCTGCACTTCCGCTTGTGACCACGAGGTGGCGCAGTCAGTTAGGCTCAGAAGCCAGAACCGAACATTTGCGGGGCAAGCCCCCGCCCCCGCCTGCAGACTGAGGGCCTGCGCTCCGCAGCCTCCGGGGCCAGGTTAAGCCCTGCTGAGGAGCCCCCACGCTGCAGGGAGCACGGCCTCCCGCGGGCCACAGCAGGGAAAGCCCTTCAGGTCAGGCGTGCGGCCCCCAGAGGCACTCACCCGTTCCACCTGAACCTTCCCGGGACACTGGTGTACCTGCCACACAGGAAAGTGGCTGATGCAGCAGTGGGCGGTTCAGTTTCTGCGGAAAAGCTGTTGTTAAGTCGGAGCATCTTACCGATGGCATTTCAAAGGCATGGAAATATGGAAATGAGGTTTCTGGGTGTCGTTAGGCCATTCGGTAGTGCATTTGCTGAGTGCCTTCCATGTGCAAGGCACCCCAGGTGCTGAAGGGCGGACGCGCTGGTCCACACAGAATACAGAGACTGGCAGGCCTCCAGCCCCCTGCACGGCCTGTCCTGGAGGCCTCCTCGGAGCCCTGCACGCCCTTGGCCTCCCCTCCAAGCCGTGCCACCTCCTCGGTCGGGACCACAGCCCCAGCCCCGCTGTGGGCATCTCACTGCTTCCCTTTACCGATGATGAAGCCGCGGCTCGAGGGTTGGGTGGTGTGGCCAAAGCTTGCACCAGCCTGGCAAACAGCTGGTGGGGAGAGAGCAGGTGCCTGAGAGGTCTCAGGGCTGTGGCCAGCGCTCAGAATCCAAGGCGGGACCACAGCTCTGAGGCCAGTGTCCATGTCCAAAGGATGGGGTGGCTGGGCTGGGGGTGCCGAGAGGGGAGCCCACAGCGGCTGCGGCCCAGGGCCGGGATGCGCGAGGAAGCCCCATGGCAGTGGGCCCTGGCTGGGAGGCTGGCTTTTCTGAAAGAGTCCAGGGTGGACAGAATGGCTCTGTGAGGGCTCAGAGAAAAAGGGCGGTCTAGTCTGGGAAGGCTTCCTGGAAGGGGGGGCACGTAAGCATGGGTGTGCCTGAAAAGAGCAGAAAGGGGTGAGGTGGCCAGAGAAAAACCACTGTCCCTGGGTAGACAAGGAGGAAGAGTACACCGAGCATCTGTGGTGGCCCTGGGCTGGGAGGCTGGGGTCAAGAGTGGGCTGGGGTCAAATGTGGCCCCCGAGCTAGGGCTGGTGGGAAAGGCAAGTTTAGAGGTGAAGGTCACCCCCAGGTCTTCGTGCGGGGCGGGAAGGGGGCGGAGAGCCCGGCTGGCCGGTCAGGGGAAGGGGCCCTGCTAGAGCCAGCAAGGCGTTGCGGAGCGCGCCCCAGGAAGGGTCTGCAGCCGGCGCCAAGGCCCTGCGGTTAGAAATGGTCATTTGACACATCTGTGTGCAACTGGGGATTCACCCACGGGCCCGGGGTGGGCAGGGCTTTTGGGGCCCGCCTGTCTCTCTGGAGAAGGCCGCTCTGGGCAGAGTCAGAGCAAGACTCTCAGGTTGTCGGAAAGTCTCTGTGAGCGGCGGTTAGACAGCCAGGAGCGGAGCAAGACGTCGGGCCGGTACAGAAGGTCCGCGGGGTGGGAAGGTGCGGGTGCCTGGCAACGGCAGGCGACACTGGGAAACAAGGGCCTCGCCCCCAGGGCGACCTCCGCTCCTCTAGCACATCGCGGGTCATGTGGTTTGGACCCCTAACTTGCTCTCCCTGAAGATAACATCCAGGCCTCAACCGCGTTTCAGCCCCAGGCCCAGAGAAGCAGCGAAACCAGGCCAGCGACACCAGGGCTGCTTCAGGACCGGCGGCATTGGCCAAGGGCCCTCCCCGCGCTGGGGCCGGCCAATCGGTGCAGACCAGGGCCCTGCGAAGAGCACGTCTGGAAAACGGGACTTCTCTGCGGAGGGCCTCCCCTGAGACCTCCCCCAGGGCTCCGGCCGGCAGGAGAGAAAGAGAAACCCTCCAGACAAGGCACCCGGCGTGCATCCTCCCTCTGGGGAGCGGCCTGCGCCACTCCCTGCGGCTCTTCCTCGGCCCCCAGGAGGCTGGCAGCCAGGAGGGGCAGTGGGCAGCAGCAGCTCACGCAGGCCACCCCCGACCCTGCCTCCTGGGCCCCTGTCCTCTGATGCCCGAGCGAGCTAAGGCAGCCAGCCCGCCTGGGCTCTCCTGCCGCTGCTCCGCTGAGCCTTCCCTTCCCCTGTTTCCCTGTCCTGCGTGGGCTTTTGCTGCGGCCAGTAAATTCCCACTTGCTTTGCTGCACTTTGTCTCTTGACTGAATTCTTTCCTTCAGGGAGACCAGAACCCAGGTCTGGAGGCCTGGTCGGTAACTTCTCCACCCCTGGCAGGAGGGGCGCAGGGTAGCAGGCCTGGGCAAGTGTCTCTCTCTCTGCAGGGCGGTCTCCTTGACCCCTGAGGTCACTGACCTCACCTTTGGTGAGCACTAAGCTTGTTCCCGAATTTTCGCCCTCCCGCGAGACCACCGCACGCTGACGCGGTCCCGGTGTGCCCCTGATGGGATGTCCGGCGGGCCGCGGGCCAGGTGACAGCAGCTTGCGTGCTTCTGCAGGGCTGTGCCCGAGGCCTCTGAGGAGTCAAATGCGCGGGATCGCATGGCGGAGACGGCGAGGGGCAGGCGGACACGCTGGAGCCGCCGCGCAGGCACGTGGGTGCGAGTGGCGGGGACGCACGTGGGCCACCCAAACAATGGCTGCGCCGCGTGACCAAATTCGCTCCTTCGCGTGCGCGCGGGAACCCGCTAGGGCAGGCGCGCTCCCGCGGGCCGCGGAGCCTGCCGCGCCGGGGGGCGGGGCTGGGGCGGGGCGCGGCGTGGGGCGGCCCCTTTAAGGCGAGGGGCGGGGCGGGGCTGTGCGGCGCGCTCGGGGGCCGTTGGTGCGCGCGGGGCGGGACGGCGGCTGCGCAGGCCGGGCCGGGGGCGCGCAGACTCCGCGCAGCGGGACGCGAGCGCGCGACCTGGCGCCGCCGCCGCCGCCGCCGCCGCCTCCGCGCTCGTGGCCGGGACCCGCGGGGCCGCCTCCTCCGCGCTCCCCGGCGCCTCTGGGCTCCCGGGCGGGCGGCAGGTGCAGCGCGGCCGGGCGGCCGGCGAGGCGGGCGCCGCGGCGGCGGGTGGATGAGAGTTGGCCCCGATCTCCGCTCAGGGTAAGCGGCGCGCGCGCGGACGCCCACACGGACCTCGGCGGATACCCGGACACGCTCCCGGCACTGGCCGGCCAGGGCCGCGACCCGACGCGCGCTGCCACGTTTTGCCCCGCGCCCGGGGCCAGCGGCCCGCTGAGCAGGGCCCCGCGCGGGCGCGCCCGTCACACACGCCCCCGGGTCCCGCGCGGGCCGGGCGCGCGTCCCGGCGCCCGGGGTCTCCTGGTCTGCGTTCTGTTGGGCCTGCCAGGGGAAGAAGGACGTTGCAGGGGCGCAGGGGCCGGGCTGGGGGATGTTCGCGGGGCCGGGGGTCACCGAGGCCAGGCGGGGGCGTGAGCGCGGCGAATGTCGTCTTCCCGACCCACTCTGTGAGGGCGCGGAAGAGGAGGGAGTCCCCCCCCCCCCCCCCGGGCCCTGCGACCTCCGAGATGACCCCGCCAAAAAGTTGTGGGCCTTCACCCACTCCCTGCACCTCTCTTTCTGCCTCCTCCTCTCCCTTTGTTTGGGACTGTTTGCCCCTGGGGCTGTGCTGGGGCCCAGGTCCGTGGGCAGGAGCGGAGGCGGGGGGCGCAGTGTGGCAGCCCCCAGCCTGGGCCCTCATCTGCCCAGAACAGGTCTTGAGCTCCTGTCAGGGAGGTGCAAGAGCCAGAGGTGGGACGGCTGGCGCCCTGCCCCACGTGGAGGCCCTGTGGCAGGAGCAGCAACCCCGGCGCCCCCCCACCCCACGGCAACCCAACCTGCACTGGAGACCCCTGCAAGCTAGGTCTGCCCAGGAGCCCTGCATTAACAGAGGCAGGGGTGACTGCGTTGAGGGGACACCTTAGGCAGCATGGGGTTCCCTTGCCTTCCTTGTGTTCGCTCGGGAGGAGATCAGAGTTCGGAGCCTCTCCCACAATCAGTCAGCCCAGCCCTGGGGCTTGTTTTCCAGCAGGGCCTAGCAGGGCGGCAGGGGCTGGGCTGGGCTGGGCTGTAGCGAGGTGCGGAGTCGGGAGGCTTGCCCGCTGTGCCCCTGCACCTGCTCTGACCTTGGACAGGAAGGCATTGGGCCTCCCTGTGCCTCAGTTTCCCCCAGTAAATGGGAAGGGGGCTGATGGGGCACACCCGGAAGAGAGATCAAACGCCCTGGCCAGGCTGGCAGTGCCCTTTGCCCCCTGGGCAGCCATTAGTTCCCTGTCCCTCCCGTGTCCTCGGCCTGTTTGGGGACATGCAGTCCGGCTGGGTGAGTGTGCTCCAGTAAAGCCTCTGCCCCCGCCCCGGTCTGGACACGGGTGGACTCGTGGTGGGGGTTGCTGGCTTGGCCCTGGGGACCGGGAGCAGGGGTCTCCGGCCTCTAGATGGGTGCCACCCCCTCTCTGCCGTTCTTTCTTCGGAGCTGCCCTGGCCAGCAGGTCGTGGGAGGCGGCAGCCCCGCAGTGTGGCCGGCCCGGGCAGGGCCTGCCCCACCATGTCCGCCTGCTTGTGCTCAGGAAAGGCGTTTCCTGGAAACGCAGGGGAGACTCTCAGAGTTGTGGTCCGCGTCGCCCCGGCCCGGTCACCTTCCCCCGGCGTGGGCGGGGGCCCCCACTTATCTGCAGCATCCGTCCTCAGGGGTGTCGGGAGACGAGCCGGTTGCCAGCTCCCGTGACCTCCGCTCCCCGGCCTGTCCCTGGGCCCCGCTTTCCCAGCTGGAAACCAGGATCCGACTGGTTACCCTGAATCACCGTCTTTGCTGTCTGATGGGATAGAAGAGCCGTTCATGCTCAGGGGAAGTGAAGTGTTATTAGATTCCAGCGCCAGTTGCCAGGGGAGGCCGTGAGCTGTAGCCCATTTTCTCTTTGTAACAGAGTGCCTGAGAGATGCTACATTGTAGCAGGCGGCAGCACCAAACCCAAACCATGGGGCACGGGATGTGTGACCGGAGGAAGCGGGGGCTCCCCTGACGTTTCCATACTGTGACCCCTGTTAGTGACTGTGCCATGGGTACCCTGGTGCCTCAGGGGCTCCAGCGACCTCCTTGCAGCTCCCCACGCTTTGCATGCTGGGAGTTCCCCTCTGGAAGCCGGGGCCGCCAGAGCCTTGCGAGGGAGCGGGGCTCTCACCCCCAGCGGCCCGGCTCCAGACAGATCCTCATTTTGAAGGGGACTGTGCCCCTTGGGGAGCCAGGCCGGCACCCCCTGGTGTGGGCCTTGGGCCCCCTGCATCTGGCGCTTGGCCCTCTGTGTGTGTCAGGGTGGGGACTCCTGCCTAGTGGCCGCCATGGGGACTGGGGCACTTGCAGGGTGCCCGGGAGCGCCAGGCGGGGAGGAGGGCCCTGTGCGGCGGGGGGAGGGGCAGGCTTCCCCAACGTGAGTCCCTGCCCCCTTCCGTGCCAGGTGGGACCGGAGGCCGCTGCACCTGTTGTCAGGAGTGGCGGAGACCTTTATTCCTGACAACACTCATTGATTTTAGAGTGAGGGGAGGGGAGGGGAGAGAGAGGGAGAGAAACAGCCACATGAGAGGGAAACATCGGCCGATCGATTGCCTTCTGTGCGCGCACCGGCCGGGGACCCAGCTTGCAACCCAGGTGTGCGCTCTGCCTCGGGGTCGAACCTGGGGCCTTTCGGTGCCAGGGACGACGCTCCTACCCGCCGAGCCACGCCGGCCAGGGTGAAGGACACTGTTTTTGTTGAGGGCCGAGTGCGGATTTGCGGCCCTGGGGTGGGGGGCTGCTGCCAGCGTCGGGCGGTCGCAGAGCCCCCTGCGCTTCAAGGAGTCACAGGTGAGCTGGGGAGGAGCCGCGATGGGAGGGCTGTGGAGGGGTCGGCGGCCGAAGCAGCTCCTGCCAGCCTGGCCCGACACGGGGTCTGCGGGGAACTGCCGGGGGAATGGGACCGCGCAGGTGGCGCCTGGCGGGCCTCGGTTTTCGGGACACTGAAAGCTGGCTCGGGGGCTGCTGGCGCTGCCGTGGGCTCAGGTCTTTTCCTCCTTGGCTGTTCGCTGGCACAGCAGCGGCAACTCTCCTGGGCAGGGTTTGGAGAACCTCAGGGGGTGAGTTCACGTCCCCCACGGCCAGGACCCCTGGATGTGGGGGGAGGCCCGGGTCCCTGAAGGTGACGCTCAGGCGGCGAATAGAGCGACGCAGGTGCTGCCCTGCTGTAGGAGTGGGGCAGCTCCGTCCCTGCTGGGAGCCGCCAGGGGCTGAGAAATGTAATCCGTTAACTTGAGAACTTCAAGGCTGGCCGCTCCGGCTGCCCTTACAGATGGAGGCGGGGAGGAGGGGGGTGAGGTTCCCTAATTGGAGAAAACCTCAGTGTCTGCGTGTGGTCTGTGCGCAGGGCTGGGTGGAGACGTGGGGCTGCAGCTCCTTCGGACGACTGTCCCCGTTGGAGGGCAGTTGTGTGGCCTTCCAGCTGTAACCAGGGTTGTGATCACGTTTGAGTGCCGTGATTCCAGTCCCCTGCGGTTCCGCTGGAAGACAGGAAGTGTTGGCCTATCAAAAAAATTAATGCTAGTACTAGAAATCTCTGGATATGGCCTTGGATGTTGTGCTTGGTGTTTTTCGCGCTTGTCCCATGTGGTCCTCATGACATGCACCTTCACCCTGTTCTACCTTTGAAGAAACTGAGGCACAGAGAGGCGGGGTGGCTTGCCTGCGTCGCCGGTTAGTTAAGGAGCAGAGCTGGGATTGGAACGCGGGTTGTTTGGCTCCAAAGGCAGGGCCACCTCCCCAGTGATCCCTTGGTCAAGTTATGTTCCTGGGGTTTTGTGGAAGACGTGTAGGTGAATCCTAAGTCCTGAGGAGGACGCAGTGACAGCCGGGGGCCCTACCCGGACCCGGGCGTCCCTACCGCTCTCTGCGACAGAGTTTTGTGGCAGCCAGAGGGGGCGCTGTTATGAGCTTCACCTCCAGACGAGGAAGACCTGGCACTGAGAAGCTGAGACGCTTCCCAGAGGCTGTGGCTGCTGAGCGGCGGAGCCAGGTGTGACCTGGCGGCCTCCACCCCTGCCGTGGGCACAGTGTTGGGGGGGGCTCTCGGTCTTGCCGCGTGTTTGTGGGCGGGGAGCTCCGCCTGCCTGGGCCTCAGTCCAGCCACCTTAAACAGGGTCGGTGATGCAGCAGCCAGAGGCCTGGAGGTGGCCCCGGCTGGCATGGCCCCAGGAGGGAGGGGGAAGGAGGGGGCGGGGGGTTCCACCCCGTCCCCGGCACCTGCTCGTGTCGGGTGGAGCGGCCGTGGTTGTGTGGGAGTGAAGGCTTCTGGAAAGATCCATGACACTGGCCCTGTGACGTGTGGGCGCTCAGAAAGCAGTGTGCTCCGAGGTGTCACCTGTCCCTTGGGAACAGGGGGAGGGCGGCTCTACCCCAAACCCCTCAAGGCCCCCACACCCAAGTCGGGCTGTGGGCGGGCGAAACCAGCCGCTCAGGGTGCCGTGGAGGGCGCGGCGGCTGGGGGCCCTGGGAACCGGCCGCCCCTCCCGTGGCTCCTGTGCTCAGTGGAGGGGGCCGGAGCGGCCCAGGCCACGTGGGCCACGACCCCAGCCTGTGCCCGCGACGCTGGCCCAGGACGCAGGCACGGCTTCCGGCTTCCTTCCCAGCCCAGCCCCTGCCCCCTGCCCCTGCCTCTCTGTGGGGTGTCTGCCACATATCTGCTCCTTCCCCTCCTGTGAGTGCGCCCCCGCCCCCTCCCCCCGCCCCGTTAGAGAAGTCCTTCCTCACTGCTGTTCCCTCCCCAGGTTGTTCCCAGCCCTCTGGCGGTACCCTCCTCCTCGTCGAGCGCTATTTCCCACAGGGCCAGAGCAGGAGCTCCGTCACCTTCGGGGAGTGGACAGACAGACGCACTTCCCTCTGCAGGGACAGGCCTGGAGCGGCGGCCGTGCCCTGTTCTGCCCCAAGACTGTCCGCAGCCGGCCTCCTGGGGCGTAGCTTCGGGTTCCGGGGGCTGGCCCGCGGGCGGCCGGTCTGGGGAGGGGGCCAGGCTGGGCGGTGGGAGATGTACATCTTGTTTTGAACGTCGTTACGGAGATGTAACCCCCGCGCCATGCAGCGC